ATCAGCCTACCATATAAATTAGTAATGTTTTTCTCTTGCCACATCCTTACATACTTACTCAGTTTTAACTCAAAGAGATTATTCATTCTCTGTGAAATAAATCTATGCTTTAGGGTCCTAGTAGCTTTTGTCTTTTTGTTTAAATACAAAAGTCTTCTCTAAGTTTCACTCTCATTAAAGGCCTGGCCATCATTCAAGACCCCAGTCCTCAGCAGACCTATTGCTTGAAGTCAGATAAAATAATGATTATTCTCAAGACTTCTTAGGGGAGTCTGGAAAGTCCTTACTCAGGATATGGACTCTGAGCAAGGCCTAAAGGGTAAATTAAGAAGTTTCCAAATGAAATGTAAAATTATATTTTGATAGAGGGCCAAAAGTGATGTAATTATATTTAAATTAAAAATGTATAAAACAGTCTATAAAATCATAAACATATGGCTGTGGTCTGAGAGGTGGCAGTTCTCAGGCTCTATCTTCAGTTATCTCTGTGGGCATGTCTGAAACAGGACAGGGAGTAATACCTATAGAGGTGCAGGCACAGCAGCTTAAGGGACATGGATATTTCTGTTCATCTTCCTTTCTCATTGTCTACCATGGCTATGAGCCTGATCCTCTCAAAGCATTTCTAGTCTTCATATAAAGAGGATGAATAAAAACTTACTCTCTTTCCTCTAGAAGTATTAACGTGGAATAATGCAACCCAGCAGCTTCCAGAAATCCATCTACATTTTACCTGCCTTCAATAATATGCTTCAGTGACATCTTTTGATCCTTAGATTAGGACACATCTGCTCAATTATCCCCAGATTCATTTTCATTTATAGAAGCTAATAACATATGTCTGTTGTTTAATCTAATATAGATTAAGCTTTTATGACTCTGAAAAAAGACCTGAAAGAGACTACCTAAACCAGACTGTGTCAAAGACACAGCTAGAGTAGTAATTGGGGGTCCACCTGGGAAAGCAGTTCCTTTAGCAGAGCTTGCTTTGCAACTGGTATTTAGAATAGGAGAGAATCAGGCCATCGGAGTGCATCTGGTGAGTTACTGCCACAGTGTGCTGAGCAGTGTGGGGGAAGAAGGAATGAAGGAGAAAGGCACAGTGTAGTCACTTTTGGCTCTTCGGAGCTATCAAACTGGGGCTGTGTTGGTTTCTTGTAAAAATTCTTCATTGTTCAAAGGCCATAAAGAAAGGGGTGTTAATATTGCAGATGTGAACACACATCTCTGTTTGAAAAGATAAAGTGCAGACACTGGGAACTCAGGAAAATAAGCTCAAGTGTGTCATTGCTGGAAGCAATTGATGGTAGGCAGGGAGAGGCATCTGAGGTACCATTTTCAGTGTTACATAAGGATGAGGAAGAAGGATATTGCCAGGCAGTGATGCAGAGCTGGAGCAGGATGAGGAAGACACACATTTGAGAGTGAGAATTTGTCTTGCTAAGAGAAAGATGTAGCTGTGATGCGTGACATTCACATATTTGATTATTAGTTTTTTATTATTTGCTTTGTTCTGACAGTATCACAGAGACTCAGGTCACAAACAGTTTTGGTTTAAAATATTTACCCTTTGAGAACTTTGTACATGATCACTAAATCTACATCACACTGCCCTTCCTATTTCTCCGTCTAATTCCTCCTGTGTCTGTCATCCCAATTCAGGTCACATATTTTTTGAGGTTCCTTCAAATTAGGAAAATGTAAAAATAGGACCCTGAAAAGTATGGTGTATTTTAAATACTTGTTAAATAATAGCTGAAATTTTGATACACCCTACTAAATAGTACAGTGTAATAAAAGGTCACTCATAAACTAGCTAAGTCATTCTTATGTGAGAATTAACAGCATAGAATAGGGTAGCCCAGGAATGGATCCAAGGCTTTCTTGGTTATTTTTCTATTGGGATGGTAAGACACCATGGCCAAGACAATTTGTAGAAGAAAGAGTTTACTTGAGGCTGACAGTTTCAGAGGGTTTGAATTCATAACCATCATGGCAAACAGTGTGGCAGCAGGCAAGCAGGTTGGGCTGTAGCTGTAGCCGAGAGCTCATATCTCGAGACACAAACATAATGCAGAGCGAGCTAACGAGGAATGATGGAGACATTTGGAACCTCAGGGACACAACAAAGCCATGCTTCCTAATTTTTTTTTCTAACAGTCTTACCAACTGGAGACTGAATATTTAAACATATGAGCCTATATGGGGGTATTCTCATCCAAACCCCCACAAAAATTAATATCATCAGGTGAATGGTTCTTTTTCTCAGCATTGCCAGCACATCTGTCTTTTCATGGAAAGTGCCATGGGAATTTTTAGCCAAATGATTAAGTCTGAGGGGATCTGTGTCTAGGAGATGCAGGCTCAGTGTTGTACTGTCACCTTCAATCCACGGGGCGCAAGTGACCTGTTTCCAGGGCTGAGTCTTCTCTGGGACTGCGCTGTCTTGCTATGAGCTCATTCTGCACACATATTACATGGCTAGAAACAGAGCAGACAGCACTCTGCTTCATGTATTCACCATAGCTCCCTTCAATAATTACTGTGGTGTGGGATTTTTTTTAAAATTAGCACACCAAGTATTAAATTTCATTATAATATTCTGAAATATAATTGTTTGTTTATTCTATTGTCCCCGCTTCACCTTCTTGTCCCTGTTCGCCATTTATACGCTTCAACTGCTATATCCTCCTTTCAACTTTCTTGTCTTGTGTGCTGTATTGACCTCTTCTCCTTCGTCAATAATTCTTTTTTCCTCATTTCATGGTCTGCTTTCTAGTTTCATAGATTATACACATTTACACCCCTCCCCCCAACACACACTAAAAGCTAGGATCCTCATGTCATGTGATATTTGTCGTTCTGAGTTTATGTCACATAACAGTTTCCAGATCCATGTGTTCTAACCACCAGTTTCTTGTTCCCCCTAGGACAGCCTCTGTATTGCTGACAAAGATCTCTCTCAAACACAAATCTTAACATGCTTTAACCTTGCCTGAAATTCCTGATCTCCTTATCCAGTAGCACAACCTTCAACTTCCTTTGCTTGACATGGAACACTTCCTCTAGTGTCTCCAGCCCACCTGCTCAGTCTCATTTCCCATAATCCTCTGATATGGCTCTTTTCTTAATTTATTTCTTTTCTTTTCTTTTCTTTTCTTCTCTTCTCTTTCCTTTCCTTTCCTTTCTTTCTTTCTTTTTACAGAAAAGTGAAACATTCTTTTATTTCTTTTTTCTATGTTCCTGCTTATCCATGAAAGCCCACTATTTTCTTGCTAATTCTCAGTCCTTCTTTGAAAAGTTCCTGAATACAACAGTGCTCTGGTGTCCCAGGAAAGTAGCAAGTCTTCAGTGCAGTGTTAGGAGATCACTGAAGAAAGGAATTATAATTTGTTTACCTTTGTGTACTTTGCTTGTGCTACCATGCACAGCAAGGGCTCAATAAGTGCTGGCTGGATAGTTGAATTAATGGTCAATAATGCCTCATGCTTGCAGACGCAAATGCACGTGCTACCTCTTGCAAACAGCTTTCTCTGTAGCACCCGGCAGTGCCCATACTTTTCGGAAAAGTTCTTATTACCAGCTCTGATGGTTGGAAAATGATTGTGGGGTCCCAGGTCTCTGCATCAAAGCAAGCTTCTTGCCTTCCTGGTTGCCTCTTGACCAGCTGAGCCTGCTAAAGAATTCGTTCAATACTTTCTTCCCTTGACTTAGTGGGCAATTGCAGCATGGCACATAGAAACCTCATCATTCATGGTTGAGATGGTAGCATGCTGCTTATCTGCATGGAGTCATTCTCCAGGCAAGAAATAATGCATTATTAACACAGCTTTATTATCAGAACCAAGTTTGGCAGATAGAGGAACATTAGAGGATAATTGGAAGGACAGCTGATTTGTTAGCAAAATGTTGCCTTTTGGCTAATGAATCATTCCCGATTTTGCACCGACAGCTCTGTAACAAGCTTGAAGACTACTTTGCTTCAGACCATTAAACTTTGACAAATCAGTTATTAAGTACAGCTCGAGCCACCAGTCTGTGGGGATCATTGCAATTATAAGCCGTCTATGCATTTTTTTTTAATCATTAGGGGAGACAAGGTGAGTCAGATGATGAAGCGTCTGATGACTGACAGTCTCGGCTGCTTTGTAGTACACAAGGCAATAAACAGCTGCAGGAACAACTCATCAGTCAGCACACTCTCTTTGCCGGGAAAAGGTAGTGAGAGCAATAAAGGTTATTGCTTTCAAACAACAAGCCCTGTTCAGGAAGAAAGGACACAATTTTTCTTTAATTTCTCTTCTGGAGACTGGAGGTCTTTTAGAAGGAGAAACAGAGGGAAGGGGTAGGAGTGTCACAAATGGCCAGAAAATCAAAGTGGGCTCATGTGCCTGTGGTTTTTTAGCCTATGCTTTGTCAGACTGTTCATGCTCTTGGTATGTCCACTGGCTGGTGCCTCCATTTCTCCTTTCTGCTCTGCTCTCTCACTATTTAGAACACGGATCTCCAGTGCAGCTAGGTAGTATAATTCATCAGAACAAAGGGAAGCAGTAAAGACTGTGGTAAAATTACAAGTAAATAAGTCTGTGAGCCAGAATGCGATGTTGTTTTTCAGACAGAAGTTCAAGCCTACGGCCTGGATCATGAGACCCCATGAATCTAGTCAACACCTCTACAGCCATATGTACTTGTAGGCCTGTTCCTGAGGCTTCCTGCCTAGCCTAAGTGAGATGCTGTCTCTATTTCCCTCATCATGCCTCTCTCTGTGTGCTTCCACAACCTCAGAAATGACTCCCTTAACATTTATTTTTACGTGTTTAAATTTATTTGCTTTTGGAGGTCATGGTTATTTTTCACATTGGGGAAAAGAGGTGGTTTAATTTGAATTCAATAACTTTTTTTCTTCCTCAGTTGTGTGAATCTACTGTGCTTACTATGCACGTAAGTCCTAATTGCATTCCGAGCCTTTAGGCCAGTGTGTTGTCTTGTGCATCTCACAGGTGGACACGTTGCTGGGAGTCTGGCCGTTCTCACCGATGCTGCTCATCTCTTCATTGACCTGACCAGTTTCCTGCTCAGCCTCTTCTCCTTTTGGTTGTCCTCAAGGCCCCCTTCCAAGCTGCTGACATTTGGGTGGTATCGAGCAGGTAAAGTTCTGTGATTGTGCAATAGTGAAAGCAGAGCGATGCAGAGTCAAACAGAGTTTTAAAATCTGGAAGATAAAGAGCAAAGCCTTGTTCAGAAATTCCCTCTGGACCACAAGGCTGGTGCTTAGGAGAAAACAACCATGTGGGAATGTATGCTCTCAACATTAATTCAGCTGACAGCAAGATTACAGGAAGTTCCTCTGCTCCTGTGGGACAGCAAGAATGTTGTATCATGTCAGCAGCCACCCCATCCCCAGGGTCTTTGTAAAGCAACAACTAGAAAATTATTCTCTCAGTTACTCTGCATCCTTCCAAGAGAAGATGAAAGCAAAGTTTCTGCCATAACACAGATTAGAGCCACAGAGTATCAGGGTTAAGAGACTTGTCCCTCAAGAGTCACATATAAAATAGGGGCTTTCTCAATCACACCCAAGGTCACTCCTACATTTTGAATACTACCTTTGGATCTCATGTTGGAATTTAGTGGCTGTTGGTATGGTCTTGAGATGGGACTTCGTGCAGGCTTGAGATCTGTGCTTTCATTAGTGGGCCAATGCTGTCATTGTGGGAGTGGGATACCGGTAAGAAGGATGAGGTCTTGCCCTGTACATGCTTGCTCTTCTGCCATGCTATGATGTGTCATAGAATGTTTGCAAACTTTAAGAACCTTGGTCTTGTACTTCCCAGCTTCCAGAACTGTGAGAAAAAAAATCATTATGAATTACCTAGTCTATAGTATTTTGTTACAGCAGCAGAAAATGCACCAAGACAGCCACTCAGTGAATGAATGGCTCAGCTCAATACTTCTTCAGCTAATCATCAATAACAATAAAGTGGGAGAAGGAGATGACAAGAAAGAAGAGGAGGAAATAAAATTCACTCTTTTGTCCTCTCTTAGAGCTGCTTCTTTCATGGAGTGACTGTCAGCTCTTGCCCAGGAAGTGGCTAGACCTATGAGAAGTGTTCAGTGTCTGGGAAGTATTTACTATGGGTTGTTTTTAGCATCTTCCCCCCACCCCCACCGCATTGCAGCAGTACTTCCCGTCTCTGTGGTTTCTTATATTGGCTGGAGGAATTTCTGTTGGAATATTTTGTGTCAGAGTTGCAAATATGTAGTTACCGCTCTATGATTTTACACTGGCTGGCAAGTCAAGGAAAAGGGGAGCTGATGGCAACGCATGGGTAATCCTCATGGCCGGCCTTCGCAGTGAAAGTTGTCGGCACACACCGACAGTGTGCTCACTAACAATGGGGACTACAGGTTTAAGAGGTTAGAATACTACGAAACTCTGTCTTTCACACTAAGCAGTTTATCCGTGCAGGTGTTCTGGATTGCCTCCCTTCAACAGTTAGAGAGAAATAAACAGCAACAGGAAATTGGAGAGATTGAGTTTAGGGAACTCTTGTGCCTGCCACTGAACAAAGTACACTTGGAAGTCATGGAAGTTTGGTTGAAGGCTCAGCATTTGTTGGCACAAATTTCTACATGTGCTCCACGCTTTCTAGCACTAGAATGTTTCCTTTTTAAGGCAAAGTAGAGCGAGAATTTCACATCTCTGCTTAGATTATGCCCCCCTGACTATGGAAATCTATGATATTCTAAAAGACCAAGAGTGTTCAATAAAACTCTCTGCTTTTAGACAAAATATTTTGAAGTACAGGATACGATGTAAATATCGGGACTTTTAAGTGTGGCTAGTATGACTTAATAACAATATTTTTAATTTGATCTAATGTCTGATTAAAAGTCTGCACATGGTTGGTGGCTGCCATATCAAACAGTACCTCAGTGGGCCCTGTAAATCCACAGCCCAGTCTGGCCAATGTGCTGGCCTTGCTTAACTGTTTTCTTGGAAATCATGTAGCACCATGGAAGCACTTAGGATGTGTCCTCATGTGTTTCTTTTCTAACTAGTTGCTTTTGGATCCCTGCCGAATGTTTAGATCTCAGTGCTGGTCCTTGAGGTTGGTATGAAGGCTTTATTGTCCCAACTCCTGTCTCACTATATATTTCTTTTTTTTTTAAGATTTTATTTATTTATTATGTATACAATGTGTGTTTGCATGTACACCTGCATGCCAGAAGAGTGCACCAGATTTTTTTTTTTTATTTTAGATGGTTGTAAGCCACCATGTGGTTGCTGGGAATTGAACTCATGACCTCTGGAAGAGCAGCAGTGCTCTTAACCTCTGAGCCATCTTTAAACATGGGCTTAGTGTGGGACATGTTCAACTTGAACATACTGATTAATATCCCACATGCATAGGGATCATACTGCTCAACAGCTGTGAATCCTGTCCCTGTTTTCAGTTAAACAGAAACTTTTCAGCTTGATTCTCATTAACTTTGTCAAAAGGAGTTTTAAGCAATCTGAGTAGTTGAATAGTAATTCTTGAGAGTTTGTTTCATGTTCTACTAGTATCCTTGAGTTGCTTTAACCACATGGTTCCAACTGGATGGCTCAAAGAGACATTTACTATCTTAGGGGTATAGAGAAGCAGAAATATGAGAAAAAGAAATGACTGAAGTTGGCTTCTTATGAGGTCTGTCACTGAAAACCATACCTCTCTCAGACCTACTGCTGGTAGCTGTTGGCAAGCTTTGTTGTTCCTTAGTTCAAATATCTTTATTTTAGTTTTCATATCCTCTTGCACTCTCTGTATGCATATCTGTTTCCACATTTCCCCTTAGAATAAGTAAACGAGCCATATTTGATTATAGAAACACCTTAAACCAAAATGACTGGATTGTAACTATTCATGTGCAAAGATCCCATTTCCAAATATGATGACAATATGAGTTGTAGATGGATAGTATTTATACATACAAATCTTTGAGTGACAGAATTCAAGCCACACACATGCCAATTTGTATCCATATGCTATGTTAAAAATCTGCCTTATAGATAAGAGACTCTTACTCATAAAAAGCTACAAAGGCAGTTGTTGCTATACCATAAGAGTCTGATACTTGGAGGCCTAAATATCTGCATTAGCACTTTCTATTATGTGAAAAATGTTCCATGATGGATGAGCAGATGTTTTGAGTATTGCATGGATAATAATCACATACATTCTATTATGCATGAAACATAAAGTAGTTCATCAAACTTGTAATTTTGTGGAGAGCTTTATTTAGGAAGAAGCTAAGCATAAAAAGAAGTTAATTTGAGGAAAATACAAAGAAGCTAAGATAAATGGCACATGAATATGGGAAAACATGAAGATTGTATGTAAATGACTAAAGGCGGGAAGCAACAGCCATATAATGGGTAATAGTACATAATTTGGCTTTAAAGGGTCCTAGTATGTAGGAATAATGTAAAGAGTGTGTCCTAGTTGGTATTTACTGTCTTGACACAGCCTAGAGCCACCTGAGAAGGAACTCACAACTAAGGGATTGACCAGATCAGATAGGCCTGTGAGCATGTCCCAAGGAGTCTTGGTTGCTGTGGGAGACCTGCCTAATGTGTGTGGCACCCTTCCCTGAGCTAGTGGTCTTGATAAACCGTATAAGAAATAGAGCTTATTAAGTCCCATCAGGACTGCTTGGATCCTCTTCCTCTGTGGCTTAGCAAGGCCGCATCATCAGGGGTGAGTGATCAAAGAACAGGCAGCCAAGGTCATGACAGAGGCTGTGCCTGCTCCCCTTATACATGGACCCACATGGAGACTGAGATGCCTATCGGCCACATATGAGCTGGGGGTCTAGGTCCTCTCCATGCATGGTCCTTGGTTGGTGCATCAGTCTCTGCAGGACAGGGAGGAGTTAAGGGATGGGGCTACAATTGGAATATATAATGAACAAATTGTAAAAAAAAATTAAAAAGAAAGAAAATAAATAAAATCTTTACAAAAATCTAGCTAAACATAAGCCATCAAGAAGCATTCCTTCCTGGCTTCTACTTCAAGTTCCTGCTTGAGTTCTGGACTTGACTTTCCTAAATGATAGACTGTGGCTTGCAAGTTAAGCCAAATAATCCCATTCCTCTCCTAGGTTGATGTTTGTCACAGAAACAGAATGAAGCCAGGACAGTGAGTAGAGAATAGCATAATGGGATTCATCTGACTAGTGGCTCACAGGTTATCTGTAGACCATTGTAGGTTTTAAAAATCCATCTACAAGGCTGAGTGAAAGGATACGGCAAGGTATTAAGGAATGTCCATGTGAGCCAAAGTACTTTCTTCCTTAAACAAGCACCCTGAGATCTTTCTCATCTTCAAATATTAATGCAAATGTTTCCATTTGGATGTTTCTTTTTCTTGCAGTTACTCTTAAAAAGCAGTTAAAGTGCTTAGAAGCCCTTGAGTTTGTCTCTGTGTTTACAATATGTCGGGTTGGCAAATGAAACCCATTTTCATAAAGCACACTCCGAAGCCTTTCCTCTTTACTAGCTTATTCTTCTAAAGGTGCCAGTGCTGGCAAGTTGTAAATGTTTTATGATGAAATTAGGACTTTCTAAACACATTTTGCTCATTCATATCTCATTATTTCATCCCCCACTAATAAGTTTCCATCCTTTTAGCACCTGTATAAATTAAAATCCCCAAGGAGAACAGGGAGGGCAGGCAGCAATTAATACGTTCTAAAAATTTGCTGAAAATTACTCAGTAATAGGGAGCATAATGAGTTGTGATGTTCATGTTTTACAGATGCAATGCTAAAGTGCCTTATTTCAGTTCTCAAATCCATTCATGCTTCTGCTCCATGAATCACTGAAAGAAAAAAAAAGGATGAAGCCATTTTCATGGGCAGGAGAATCAAAGAGTCTATGGCTCTTGTGTGCAGAGTGGGGATGTGAAGGGGATATTCATGACACTTTCTGTGAATCTGACTCCCAGAGATCCTTGGTGCCCTGCTGTCTGTCCTTTGCATCTGGGTGGTGACTGGTGTGCTGCTGTACCTTGCCTGAGAGCGCCTACTGTATCCTGATTACCAGATCCAAGCCAGCATCATGATCATTGTTTCAGGCTGTGCAGTGGCAGCCAACATTGTGTAAGTCATTCCATACTGAGCATCTGTTTGGCTTATCTTCAGTCTTATCTAGAGAATTTTTTTTTAATATACTGTAACTATGAGGATGCTAAGGTTCTGACATGGTATTTGAGTGACACTAAGGAAATAATGTTGGTCAATAGAGATTAAGGAGTTTGAAAACATTGGCTACCACTGGTTACCATATTTGAAAGCTTCCACCATGCCAGAGACTGGGAAAGGGTCTTGTGATATACGTATAAAACTGAATTTTCACAATGTTCCACACCCGCAGAGTATAACAGGGAAACTCAGTGATGTTAAATAGGTAGGAGGAATTAGTATTCAAATCTAGATGGCTGAATTTGGAATTATTATGCCTTCTCTTGGGTGTTGATGATCCCATGGGATGTGGCTTGCAAATGGTTCAACCTCCGTTAGGTAAGTAGATTCTGAATTGCCAGATTGCTGAGTTGACAGAGACCTTAGAAATTACTTACTGTGGTGTGGATTTTGTGTTTAAATTATCTTCTGTAGCATCTTTATAAAGAGTTCTTCACCTTTGTATATTTCAACCAAATAAAAAATGGAGGCGTTTCTTCCCCCATCAACGTCTAGTTTGTCACTGTAACATGCTACGGCATGAAAAGCTGTTAGGGGAAAAATTCTCTTCCGCAAGTGCCTCCAGAAGGAATTCAGTCCTTCAAACCTGCCTCAGATTTCTCACCTCCAGAACAGTAAGATCATAAATTCATGCTGTTTTAAGCTCCCAAAGAATTGTGGTAATTTATTAGTTCAGTAAGAGGAAACTCACACACAGCTTGAGGATCCCTGCTACACAATGGAAACTGGCCTGAAACCTGAAACTTTGAATTATGTTTCAGGCTCAGAATTCTGGACGTTGGAGTGTTTTGGACATTTTGAATAGTCAACTGGTAATAATTAACTGCTAAATTTTATGTAAAAATAGTTAACTAGTAAATTGTATGTAAAAATTAGCATATGCATACGACTGCACGCATGTGCGTGCTCACACACACACACACACACACACACACACCATCACATTTTAAAACGCTTCTGGTTCCAAACATATAATTTTCCACTCTTCCCGCACAAACTGCTACATGTTATATGGTAGATTTGACAACAAAGACTTGACAGTGGCTAAAAAATTAGAATGATACTTACAAAGGCATTTGTTTGTTTGTTTGTCTGCTTGGAGAGGGCAAAATGGTATTTTTGCGATTGATAGATATATTAGCATTAATAGTTTGAAAATGTCTCCTCAGGTTATTGAAAGCTTTCATTTTAAGCTGCCATCTCTGAAGTGAGTTTTCTTGGCTTCCACCTTGAACCCAACAACTGTGAGGGTAATACATTTAGATAACTCCATTTTTCACCTAACAGTTTGAACCTAAAAACCTCTGAGCTGAAAGTTAAGAGTGATATTTAATGACTAGATCCTATCTGCAATTAGTTAACTTGAAACTATGCTTCATTTTTGAAGAAAATATACAGAGACATATGAATGTGAAACTATCTTGTCTAGGAGTTAAATACTCAGAACAGTTGTCCTGGTCACTGGAGGGGGTGTTATAATACCTTCTCTGCAAAGGAAACAATATGTCCTAAAGGAAGAATGAAAGTATTCGTTTCCAAAGAGTCCCATGTCAAGTAGGTTATGTCAAATCTATACAATGATGGTGGATCAACCAAATAAACATTGATCTAAGACCTGAAGGTTGGATCTTGATCTTCACAATACCATCCAGATTTTCTTTTTACTGCATTACTTTTGAACATTGACCTGACCATTTCAAGTATTTTTAATACATAGAAAGACTACCTAATTGGTTGTTCTGCCTTCCCTGAGCAAGCAAACAGATGGTTATTTGTAGATAAACATACAGAGTGACAAGAATGTTTCCTCCGGGAACTGAGAATGTAGACTTCAAGTGGTGCTAGACACTGATTTCAGAATATACAGGGATATCAAAACTGAAATTGTCCAAATCTGCTCTTTTGGGAGCCCAAAGATAGGATAGAAAGTTCCAACAGCAACCATGAAGAGAGTCTTTAATGAAAGTTGTAGACAGAAATATAAACTGAAGACATTTCTGCTTAATTTGCAAATTCAACCCAGTTGCTGTATATCTAAACTAGACTCCTCTGTTGGTCAACTATAGTGGCAATTTTAATGTAGGTGTGTGTGTGTGTGTGTGTATGTGTGTGTGTGTGTGTGTGTGTGTAATCCCTGTTATCTCTGCTGGGGAGATATCATGCCCAGTTTATAGTAAAAATATTTAACAGTGTCTAAATATGTGTTCCCCATCATCTTAAAATAAAACAAGTAAAAGAATGAATGACAATGTGATGAACATAAAGAACAGATCTAGAAGATCTATAAGCTGCCAGCCTAGTAGTGGAATGGTAACTCATAGTTGACAGTGAATTTCTGTCCAAATAATGACAATCTGAAAACTGCATTATGGAATGAGCAAATCTTGGTGGGTAGCTGTGATTCTGCTTTTGGTGATGGCCTGACATTTAACAGATACATTACCCATACATGATGTCTTTCCTTCTTTGTCAGTTCGCTTGAAAGATATGTGCTAAGCTTTGCAAGATGTTGTAATGTGCATATATATACATGTATAATATACACACATAAGCCCTTTATATTATATCAGATGACTTCCCTCTCCATACAAATAAGTAGACACAGACATATATATCTATATAAATAAGTATATATACATGCCGTTAAAAATTGTACTGATTGTATGTAATCATTCAAATGAACCAAATTAAACAAAAATTTAAAAAATAAGGATTCCAGCTTTGGGAGCAAAAAAGATAGCTCAGTTAGTGAAGTGTTTGTATAACAAGCATGAGGACCTGGAATTGAGCTCCAGGAGCTGTAGAAAAATGTTAGGCTTAGTGTGTGTTATCTCAATGCTGGGGAGACAAAGGCAGGTAGATCCCTCGGGTTCGCTGGTCAGCATTCTTAGCCAAGTCAGTGAGTCTCGGGTTAATGAGATCCTGTCTCAAAACCAGGTAGCTAGCTTCTATACCAAGGTGGTTCTCTGGTCTCCACATGTGCACTTGAGCATGTGCGTGCACAAGTCCTGGCACACAAGCACATAAACACACAGACAGATTGATAGTGTTTCTTCCAAAAGCCATAGACTTTATAACATCAGCCCAGTATCACACGCAAGAAACCTCCTTTCCAGTGTTGGTCCTGGTAGACCAAGAGATTCCTCAAAAAATAAGCTATTGTTGTCTATTGCTGTCTCCTAGAACTCAAAGGTAAGAACTTAACTGCTGAACACACCACAAATTTTATACACAGAAAGAACTGAACAAGAATTGACTTGCTCTCTATGAACTAACTCTCATATTTGAAGGTTCATGCAAACTGCCAAGGGAGATAGACAGCCAATAGTCCAAGCCAGCTGTAAGCCTTCATACAACAATTACAAGATATACTGGGGGTTGCAATAGTGGCACTTAAATGTTTGAGTAACCAATAGTGGTCTAATTGGGTCAGTGTTTGATTTTCATGAAAGTTATAATGCTTCTCAGTTTTACTGTGGAACAGCGTAGCATTATGTTGGTGAATTCTTTGAGGAAAATAAAGGAGGTGAATTTTTGAAATATTTCCTTTTGAGAGTTTTTAAATTTCTAAGATACACTTATATTCAAATGTAAGTCCTTAAAGGTGTGCCTTAAAGCACTGCTATTTTAACTACCTGGCAGTTTGGATAATAAATGCTACTGATGACTGCTTCATTATGCTGTGTAGGCTTTTAAAGGTTTATTGTGTCTGAAATCTCTTTCAGACTCACTGCAATTTTGCACCAACCTCACCTTGGCCACAACCACAAAGCCGTTCAAGCTAATGCCAGTGTCAGAGCAGGCTTCGTGCACGCCCTAGGGGACGTATTTCAGAGCATCAGTGTACTAATTAGTGCCCTCATTATCTACTTTAAGGTGAGTGTGTTTAGTAATCAGAGCAGCTCTGTGAATGAGCTAGCACAGAAGCTAAGACTCGAATATACCAATACTCTCAACCTGTGCTCCCCTGCACAAACTGCTTTACAAATCTAAAACTGGCAAATCCTGAAGCCTCGGTCTTTCCTGGATTCCAAAGAGCTGTCTTTATTTGTTGGGCTCTGAGTCTTTTGAGAAAGATCCTTTAATGTAGTATTAAGATGTGAACCAACGAAACCAGGAACACCTTGGGTTTCTTAAGATATGAACAATGGAAGATAGATCTGGTTTGTTTAAATAATGCTTATTGGATGAATTTTACAGAATAAACTCAAAGACATAAATCATAGTAGAAAGAGGGCAGATTTTTATTATAGAGGATTGTTTTAGCTGTTCTGAGTTTTTTTTTTTTTTGTTACTCTATATTTGGCATTTCTGGGTATCATGCTGAAATGAATGTGTCTGATCAGGCATTTTACCTGTTCTTATTATCTCTGCAGAGAGTCATATTTCTCAAAGATTTATTTATGTTTATTTTATAAATTATGTCCAGTGATGTGTCTCTGAATGAGTATGTGCTCATGAGTTCAGGTAACCCTCATAGGTCAAAGGAGTTGGATCCTGGAGACATTTGTTAAATGCCTGATATAGAATTGAGAACTGAGTTCAGGCTCTGTGCAAAAGCAGACTTGCTCCTAACCACCGACCATCTCTCCAGCCTCCGAGAATCATATTTCTTGGGAGGGAGTCCAATTTACTGAGATTGGAACTTGTGACTACTGCTTGTCTGGAAGAGGGTCAAGAGTGCTTGATTCATGGACCTGCTGACCTTGTTCTCAGTGTGGGAGGGACCACCTTTCTGCCAAAGCAGAGCTCTGGGATGATAGGATGAGCACATAAAAGGGTCTCTCACTCGAAACATGTAAGCACTCACCAACAAACATGTATGTTTGGGACAGGGAGAGGGCAGCACATGATGGAATTTAACCCTGCCTTTTCTTATGCTATTGTCATTATCTAATTTTGAGAGAATAGTATTTTTTCCTAAAGTGTGAAAATACATAAATAAAAAAAAAGTAAAAGATATCTGAACTCAGATGGGGAAAATGCACCTTAAAAGCCTGAAGTCAGTAAACAAATAAACTGTGAAAGTGAAATAAAAGCTTCAAGCCAAAGGCAAAGACAGTTTAAAATTGTAAAGATGAATAGTTTGAGTCTGCCAGAGGGGATGGTGAATACCAATGGAACAAGGCCTTCTACGCTAGCAGGACCTGGGAAATATGAACTCACATGCACTGTGGCAGAGCACACAGTCTGTCCAGGTCTGGGCCTGATGCAGTCCCAGTGCTGGGATGGGAAGTGGACATAGCCTCATCCCCAATCCGGAAGCTACTTCCAATTGATAACCAAGCACAAATAAAAATTAGTTATTCTAATCAGTTATTCTCAACTGGAGTCTCTCTGGTTATACAAACCGTACTTAAGGGCAGGCTCCATGCCCATCAGTAAATGCCAAAGCAAAATGAAATCAATGGCATGTTTAGAGGTTGTTTGTCTCATTTGTCTCATACTACTTTGTCAGGGCTTTTTTTTTTTTTTTTTTTTTTTTTTGGTCCTTTGTGCGTGCATGCATGCACACACACACACACACACACACACATTATGGCTTCTGGTTTTGTGTTTTTATGAGATTTTTTGTATGTGTAAATATATATTTCTCTGCATCTATTTGTGTTTCTTGAGCTTTTTCTTTGGCTATTTTTCCTGGGTTTTTTTTTTTTTTTGCTTGTTTGTTTTATCCTATTCATTATTATTATTATTATTATTATTGTTGTTGTTGTTGTTGTTGTTATAATTATTATTTTAGATATCTGTGTATGTCCTAATGACAGAAAGAAAGGGTGTGGAGAGTTAGGTGGGTGAGAAGTGGGGAGGATCTGAGAGGAATTGGCTGAGGGGAAACTACAATCAGAATAGTATATTAAGAAATCTATTTCAATTTTAAAAAACCAAAATTTTGCAATGCATTTTTAACAGACCATTAGCTTTCACCAGTCCAAAAGCTAAGAATGCCATCATACTGCATCTGAAATCTATAGCAGAATTTTCTCAGCTTAGTTGTAACCTGCCTGTGCATTGGCTCCACAGTGAATTTGGCAAATAGTTTAATTTATGACTTTCTTGTATGTGTAACTAATAAGATCTCATGTAACACCTTCACAAAAATAACTCAAGTTGCCACACAAAGGTTAAGCTGGTGCTACATTTCCCAAAGGAAGTGGAACATGGAATTTTCTGTGCCACTGAGCTTCACCACTATTAGAATAGCATACATGGCATTCCAATTTCAATAATATAAATCAGTGGGGGTAGGAAAACAGAGGAGATGAAAGAGAGAGGATGATCAAGGATCATGCCTTGGTTTGTGCTTTAAAGGCTGAAATAATTGATACTCTTTCTTTCCTCCCTTGCCATAATTAAGGTTGAAAAGCACTGGCTAGCGTGACCATCTTTTCATACATTTCCATGACTACAGTGTTCTCATGTTAATTTGAGAAACTATAAATCAGGTGTTTTTTAGAGAATACTTAAGAACATATTTCTGTTTAATTCCTAAGTTATTGGGAACACATTTCCAGAAGCCTCCATTCAATAATCACTGGAAATGTAAATCAGTGACTGAATATATCCTACTGAGAGAAAGAATGTCCCCAGGAGATGCAACCTGCTTTTGAGTTGAATGTCTAGGGTCATGAAGGTGAATGGGTGGTGGAGAAAGGAGGACTCTGAGATGTTTACTTATTGTATCAACTGGGTTTCTCGATTGAAAGTTTGAGCTTGGTTAACCAAAGTTGCTGTTTTCCAGCCTGACTACAAAATTGCTGACCCAGTGTGCACATTTATTTTTTCCATCCTGGTTTTGGCCAGCACCGTCATGATCTTAAAAGACTTCTCCACCTTACTCATGGAAGGTAAGAGTGCTTGCATCAATATTCCTAGGGTTGATGCTTCTTTTTCCCTTTGATCATAAAAGGGATGATGCCAAGTCATGTTCTCTGTTAATTTGTATCATAAGGAAAAGTTAGAGTGATAAGGATTTTTAATATTTGATTTCTGCTTATATGGAACAGATACAAATTATGTATGCATATATACATACTTTTAAATTATAACTCACAATGTAAAGATATCAAATATAAACACTAGGTACATTAGAGGGAAATATTACAAAAATATAAATATATTGACAAGTATACTAGAAAATATCTAAGAAAGTCAAGAAGAGTCTTCCTCTTAGGCAACATTATAAGTGAATACTTAGATCTCATGTGTTTCAAAGTACAAGAACACTAGGATGATATTTATTTGTTCAGCAAGTACTTGCTGAACTTTGCTAGATCATGTCTTTAAAATTAGACTCACTAAGATGAGTGAAGCAGCGACCGCTACTCTCCTAATGGAAAGAGCTATACTTGAGTGAAAGAATTATCTAAACCATGAAAACGAATAGAGTAGTAATAGCTACCCAGAAGAGCTGTGGGATTTTCATATGCTGGGGAAGATTAGCTAATGAGCAGCTGGGGAAAGTGATGTTTCCAGGCTCATTCTTAGCCCAGGGTAGGATCTGTCTCTTATCAACCTCATTGCCCATAGACAATAGCCCCAACTATTCTTCTGCTTCGGCTGGCTGGCTCCATGCATCTTCCATTAATCAGAGATGGATGACAGGGGTAACACTCACTGTCAAGACAGTAGCTCTTATGACTAAAGCTTACTTGGGAATGTCTCCTGTTCATTCTGTATTTGGTGCTTTTCTTTTTATTTGGCATTACACAGTTGAAGAACTGATGTTTTCTGAGCTTCCCAGGCTGCATCTATGTAGTTAGGTGTGACATACATGCCAAGACTAGGTCAGCCTCAAAGAATAGGTAGTTATCCAGGTATAGTGGCAAATGCCCATATGCTCAACAATTGGGAGGTAAAGGCAGGAGGACTGCTATAAGTTCAAGGCCAGCCTGGACTATATAATAAATTCAGGCCATCCAGGGTTACATAGGGAAAACCTGATGAAAATAAATTGAAATAATAAAACCAAGTTGATTGGCTGGTAGTCTTCCCATGTTCTATATGATTCGTTTAGAAAGAAGAGTGACAGTCAAATTAGAATAGTCTGTGACACGGATGTTGAATGCTGACCCAGGCAGCTTAAACAATGCGAAATTGCAAACCAAATGATAAGGTATCATTGCAACATTAGCATTTCCTCCTAACATAGTTCCTGGAGTGACTCACTGGCTAATGAACATTGCACAGCATTATAATTTACAAAGAACAGACTTATTCCATAAAGTCTTTACACCATTCAGATCTATGCATTGCTCTTGTTGTCCATATTTTCCTAAGCATATGATGAGGGTTAGAGAAGCATCACAGTTTGAGAAAATTCACAGTAATTGTAGTCAGAATGCAAACCCAAGATTTAGGAGACCAAAACCCATGTTGTTTCATTATGTTTCATAGAGAATATGCACAGATCATTAGGAAAAGCACTGTTAGTGTAATATTTTCAGGATGATTACTGTTGCTAGATGTTGCTGAGTAAATTCTGAGAGTATTTTGTCTGGGCTGACTTGAGACTGATGACAAAGCCTTCAACAAAGTCAGATTTTAAACATTTGACAGGCACTGGATGCAAGTTGGTATTCTGGTGGAGACTGTGCAGCATTAGCCCTCATAGCCAGTGCATTTAGGTAAGTAACAAGAGGGTCGTACTTTTCCTTTGTCAGGTGTTCCAAAAGGCCTGAGTTATGACAATGTGAAAGAGCTCATCCTTGCGGTCGATGGCGTGATCTCTGTGCACAATCTACACATCTGGTCCCTCACAGTAAACCAAGTGATTCTCTCTGCTCATGTGGCTACAGGTCAGTGAGTTTTGTAAACACCCCCGGGCAAGATTCACTCCACACCCTGGAAGGTCATTCATTTCTCTTCCTTTTAGAGCTGCCCTTACAAGCCATTGTCTGTCAAAACAACTGTAAAATGTGTTGCTCTACCCAGCACCTCTGAAAACCAAACTCCTTATCAATGTTGTCATGGCAACAGTGATCCCAATAGCATTGTCTGTGCTGATTACATAAGATAGAGAGACAGTATAAAGGCTAAAATGTCTCTCTTCAAGTTCTCAGTCTCAAAAAAAAAATGACTTTACTTATTTGTCTGGGTAACTCCTTAGCTTAAATAATAGGATCAGATTAGACAACAACAACAACAACAATCTCAATAGAGTATCTCCCTTGTACAAAATATTTTTCTGATGTTGAAGAAGAAAGAAGGGAGATGGAGGCTGAGCTTTGAAATTCCAACAAACTAAGAGTGTGTTGAAAGATGGTCAGACATCCTGTGGCCATGCAAGACACTTCATAGAAGAAACTCAAGCCTGATTTTTTTTTTTTCTCAAGTGGAAGGGGTTTATGCCCATGATAAGTTTTCAGACTGGAAGAAATGGGAGGTAGGAGGTTTTTCTTCCTCTTAGGAGAAAATTCAGGCTAAGGATAGTACATTAAGATGTGAAAGTGTTAAAGGCACTACTTAGGGGCAAGGGATGAGAACATCAGGGACAGTCATCTGAGGGCTGTACTTCATCGGACGTCTTCATCTTCTCCAAGGGGCTCGGCTTTGACTTCCAGAAATTTACAGCACATTTTGTCCAAATATTTCAGAACCACAAGTAGAAGAATATAGTAAACAATCAGGTTACCATGGGAACTTTGTAGCCTCCTGATATTATTTAAGACAGAAAAAAGGATGGCAGTGAGAGTGGATGCTCGAGGGAAGGTCTGTGGGGAGCTCTAAATGTTTCCTTGTTCCTGCCACTTGTCTTGATATAAATTCTAATTAAATTCAAGAGTGGCAAGAGAGAGATCCCTGGGGGCTGGCGAGCAGGGCCCAGTAAGACACAATAGCTAAGTCTGGTTCTACTTCTTTCCAAGTCCTGTCTTGCCTTCCACATGAAGCTCCCACCAGTGCCATATTAAAGAGGTAACTGGGTAGGAAGACTACCCATAGTAAGAGATACTTTGCTCTGCTATGATGCATTGTCTGTGTGAACAGAGCTGAATGTTAGAGCCAACTACTTCCTTTGTGGGCTCTGCCCTCTCCCTGCCCTTCAGATACCAATCCCTTGAAGCTGAAATCAGTTCCTGACTGTGTGTGTGGGGGAAAATACAGAAAGAGAGAGAGAGAGAGAGAGAAAGCAAGAATGCATTATCACATTATCTGTGTTAATCTTTCTGTGGCTCTTTATCAACAGCTGCTAGCCAGGACAGCCAGTCTGTGCAAACAGGAATTGCTCGTGTCCTCAGCAGTAACTTTGATCTGCACTCCCTCACCATTCAGATAGAATCTGCAGCAGACCAGGACCCCAGCTGCCTTTTCTGTGAAGACCCACAGGACTAGCTCAGTCACACTGTCAGCTTCCTGTATTTCATAGGCCATGACAAGCTGCTGCAAAGTTTCTACAATGCACAATTAAGCAGCCAGTGGAATAGATTTGAGAAAGTCATGATGGTGCAATGCACACACCCTTCTTTTTATTTAGCTACATCCACCATGAATGAAGATATATGAGATTCATCAGTTTCTTGGATTATATACTAACCAGTAGTTGTGTTCAATTATAGGAATGCATATACAGATTGTTCCCAACTGTGGCTGAAATAACAGATGTTTGCAACCACAGGTAATAAATGGTTCACTTCCCTACAGTAATGGTTATAGTTGAATTCAGGAATCCTCGGCATGAGAAACAAGTATTTGAAGTGAATCTTGAGGCATTAGGATTTGACTTGTCCATCATCCTCACTGAGACATTCATCATTTGTGAAATAGAGGAGAACTTTAGTCTTTCATTGTAAATTATGGTTCTGTATGGGTGAAGTATTGAATTATGTTTTAATTCTCTGTGCAAAGGGTATGAGAAAAGAAAAAAATTCTGAAATTGCTAACTTTTGAATGCTTTCATAAAGTGTAATTTAATAATGTAAGAAAATGAGGAGGCACAGAATGCGATGTTTCTCATCCAGGTCACATGGAAACAATTCAGTCAAAGCATTAAGATATCTCTCAAAGTTTGGACAATATTTATGGATCACTATTGTTCAAATGCTGTACTTTATGTTTCAACAACTTAACTTTAAGAATTTAGTAGTAGTATTATATAGACAGAACATAAATATCAGAGAAGATAAGTAATCTAAAATGTTATTTATTCAATCATTCAAAAGATGTTTTTGAAGACAGACTTGGGATGAGGACTGGGGAAGAGCTTTGTTCTTCATTTCTGTAACTGAATTATAGTAGTTCATTAACTCTCAAAGGTCCTATTCCCCCAAACCAAGGTTAGATTAAGCTTCTAACCTCTTAAGAGTCCACTAGGGGCATTAAATTTCTGTGTTAGTTTTAGTGGGATTATTCAAACTGTTATCAGTGAATGAAGTGGATGTCAACACTTGCCTTGACAGAACTATTTTTCCTTTTGTTGTGGAGACAGACACTGAATAAATGAAGACAGTTGGTAATTACTATAAGAACTAGCCCAGTAATATGAAGGAAGAGAGGCTTTGAGTTTGATGCAAGTTCATGAAGAATGTCTGAGAGAAAATAGCAACTGAACTGATATAGGCACAACAACAACAACAAAAATGTGCTAGCCAGGTGGCATATAGAAGGAGCCAGCTCTTAAGAAAACCAAACCAGGTTGAGACCTATGTCATGAGGGTCTTGCAATGCTTGAAGGGCCTGGACCCAGAGGCTGGGTCACCCAGGCATCTAAGATAGAGCCAAACATGACTGGCAAAAGAAAAAAAAAAACACTCAATGAAGTGATTCCTGATGATATTCTGCTATACTCATAGATTGGTGCCTAGTCCAATTGTCATCAAAGAGGCTTCATCCTGCAACTCATGGAAACAGATGCAGAGACCCACAGGGTGGTGCTCAGGCAATCCTGTGGAGGATGGGAAGGAAGGATTGGAGTAGCCAGAGGGGTCAAGGACACCACAAGAAAACCTACTGAAACAACTAACCTGGGCACATAGGGGCTCACAGAGACTGACCTGACAACAAGGGAGCATGCATGGGACTGACCTAGGCCCCCTCTGCACATATGTTACAGTTGTGTAGCTTGGTCTTCTTGTGGGACTCCCAATAGTGGGAGCATAGGCTGTCTCTGCCTCCATTGTCTGCTCTTGGTACCCTTTCTTCCTACTGGGTTGCCTTGTCTAGATTAATATGACGGAGGTTCCTAGTCTTACTGCAACTTGATATGTCATGTTTGGTTGATATTCACCACTGCAAGCCTGCCCTTTTTTAAAGAGAAACAAATAAAGAGTGGATAGAGGGGTGTAATGGAGAGATGAAGGGGAGGGACTAAGAGGAGAGGGGGGAATAGAAACTGCAGTCAGAATGTAGTAGTAGTAATAATAATAATAAATTAAATAATAATATAGAAAAAATAATTAAACTAAAGACTGAGCACTCTGAAGAACTTGGTGTATTTGAGGACTTGAGGAAGACCCTTGCTGTCAATGGTGCCCTAAACAGGTAAACTAAAGAACATGAAAGAAATGAAGCTGAAAGAGAAGCAAGCCAAGTCACAATGCAAGATCTACCTTATCCCGAAGCTTATCTTTGCTTTTTCTTTGACACATTTCCCTGTATTCTGTTCTTTCCCTCTCTCTTTCTCATTTTGGTCAAGTAATCTTTATACATAGTTGGCTATTATTGTAAAAGTGTGTCCAAATGGTTGAGTTTTCACTCTTCAAAAGAACAGAATGAATAAAATGTGGATTTTAAAAGCAAAGCAGTGACTGCAGTTTTTTGATGTATCCTATCCGTGACTGAACACACTGGGCTAGTCACAGACAAGACTGAGCTTGACTCTGAATAAAAGTCTGGCTACAAAAAGAATTAATTGAAAAGGTTGTGATTTAATAAAAGATGTGTCTGAGTTGTGCTGTTAACCCCAGAGCTGTGAAAGAGAGGCACTATTAGCATGGGTGGAGCGAGAGATGGCAGTGGGGTGAAGAGCATGAAAGAATTATAAAATATGGTTTCCATCTATTTCTGCTTGTTTCTACATCTCTAACCTAGAACTGGTCCTATTTCTCTGAGCTTTAGATTACTCATTGGAAAGTGAAGTTTCCATTGTTATAAAGACATTTATGTCTGAGCTTCATGGACTAATAAATATAAAATACAGTGTTCTTTCTTTCTTACCCACTGTTTCTAAACCCCAGTACTCTAGGAAATATTAAATATGAGGTTTTTCTACAAAATACTATAAAACTTGTGTTTTTGACAAGAATTAAACCTTTTTATCTTCCCACCTTGTAAGACTTTTATGAAAATGTTTTAATCACTCTTCCTCCAAATCTGGCAAAATCTTTGTATACACAAAGGCCTTACTAAGATCTCTGATTAAAATGGCAGATCCATCTACCCTTTATCCCTTGCACAATGTTTTAATGGGAAAGACTATGAGATCAGATACCTAAGAGCTAAAAAAAAGACACAGTTGCCACCTGCATTAGAATAAAAAACTAAGCTCACTGCGTGCTTGTTTCACTGCCTTGGTGAGCAAGTTACCCTCTTTACTTACCTACCTACCTACTTACTTACTTACTTAATTCATTTACATCCCAATTATAGCCCCCTCCCTCCTTTCTTTTTGGTCCACCCTTACTCCCTCTTCTTCTTCCTCCTCCCTTACCCCTCAGAAAAGGTGAGCCCCTCCAACCTACCCTAGCACATCAAGTCATATCAGGAGTGAGCACATCCTCTTCCTCGGTGGCTTGGAAAGGCATCACCACCAGGGAGAAGTGATCAAAAAGCAGGCAACAGAGTCCTTGTTAGAGATAGCCCTGCTCTCCTTCCAAGGGTACCCACATGAAGACCAAGATGGCCATTGGGTACATATGTGTAGGGGGCCAAGGTCCAATCCATGTATGGTCCTTGGTTGGTGTTTCATTTTCCACAAACCTCACTGGGCTTAGGTTATTTGTCTCTGTTTGTCTTCTTGTGGAGTTCCTGTCCGCTCCAGGTCCTTCTATCCTTCCCTCCACTCTTCCACAAGGTTCCCTGGTCTCTGCCCAGTGTTTGGCCATGAGTCTCAGCATCTTTTAGATTCATTGTTAGGTAGAGAATCTCAGAGGACAGCTATGCTAGGCTACCATCTGCAAGCATAGCAGAGTACCTTTAATAGTGTCAGGGTTTGGCTCTCTCCCACAGGATGGGCCTCAGGTTGGGCCAGGCATTGGTTGGATATTCCCCAATCTCTGCTCTATCTTTATCCCTGTGCGGGCGCAAACACACACACACACACACACACACACACACACACACACACACACACATCTTTTAGGCAGGGTATATTTAGGGTCAAAGTTTTGTGGGTGGGTTGGTGTTCCCTTCCTTCTACTCATAGTCCTGTCTGGTTAGAGTGGCCTCTCCAATCTTCATGATCAGTACTACTAGAGGTCCCAGCTGTAGTCACCTCCATATTCTTCCAGGAGTCTACCCTGTCTCAGGTCTCCATCTTGTCTCAGACATGCCCCTGCAACTTTGCTTCTCTCTGCATGCCTCTTGTCCTCCATCCCCTGCCTTCCACACATCTGATCCCTACCTCAGCAACCCCTCTCCTTTCTGTTCCCTCTCTTCAACCACTTCCACTGCCTATTCTAGTTCTCCTTCTGAGTGAGAGTCAAACATCTTCCCTTGTGCCCTCCTTGTTACATAGCTTTTTTGGGTCTGTGAATTACAGTATGGTTATCCTGTACTACATGGTTAATATTCACTTATAAGTGAGCACATACCATGTATGTCTTTCTGGGTCTGGGTTACCTCATTCAGGATGATCTTGATCAAGATTAAAGTTTTGCCTTATTGAGAGACTTTGATTGAAATGTTAGTTTCTTTGTAAACTCAAACAATTCTAAGAGCATTATTCCTATTTAGGGCTGAATCATTCTTTGTTACAAGGAACACTGTCTTTGTCTTTTGCTTGACAGCATATCTAGTAGTATCCTCAGGGCCTACTTGCACTTGTTAATTGTACACACACACACACACACACACACACACACACACACACACACACACCAGGAGGGGGTGAGTAAATGTATAGACTATCAGGGGAAAGTGGATGTTGTGAGGATTTGGAACTTGAATAAGAAGCCAAGAAGGGGAATTTGAGGGTGCCTTTCATGTTGGGTCCAATACTACCTACTTATTTTCCAGATCCTTCATTTAGGAGGCAGGACATTTAGTGCCATTCATCTGAAAATATAACATTAACTGGGCTAACTTTATATGTTATGTAAAGTTATGGTGTATCAAAGCTAGAGAAACTTCTTCACATATCTTTCTCTCTCTTCCCCTTGGTATATAAACTAGGCAGA